GCGCTGGACCTCCCTCTCTAGATCATGTATGTCCTTCCTGACACGCCTGGGTGGGGGAGATTTATCCACCATATGATGGTTGGGATCACTCTCACGGTAACACCCAAGCAGGTACTGCAACGAAAGCATATGATTATGCTGACGTAAGGGAAGGACTTTCGCCTCCTCATGTATATGGTCCACTGGTGTCATGAGGAGGCAACCTGTCGCAGTTCTCAGGGCAGCGTTCTGGCAGGTCTGCATATGCTGCCACTGCATAGCACTAGTATTCGCAGACCACACTGGAGCCGCATAGCTGACCACAGACCGACCTATCGCGTTATAAGAGGTCCACAAGGTTTCTTTATCTGCACCCCAAGAGCTGCCGGCTAGCGCCTTGAGGACCTTGTTCCTACTATTCATCTTGTCGCAGATAGCTGTGGCTTGCGCGGACGGCTTGAACATGCTGTCGAACGTGACCCCAAGAATCTTGGGGTAGTTCGTGGTCGACCTGAACATTCAGCTGTGTTCTCATCTCTGCAGACCATGTGGTAAAGAGTGTGGTCGTTGATTTCGTGGCGGATATTTTCATATTCCTGGCATGGAAGTATGCGGCAAGCTCCGTGAGATAGGGGTTCAACCTTTCGCATATGTCATCGACCACTGGACCTGACGCCATGATCGTACAATCATCCGCATACATTACGATCTCAATGCCGTCTGGAGGGCGAGGAATTCCGGAAAGGTAGAGAGTAAACAGTTCCGGAGGTATTACCCCACCTTGGGGAACACCCTGTTTCACTCTACAGGCTTTGGACTTCTTGTTCCGGAATTCCACGTACGACTGGCGTCCACACATATAGTTGATTATCCAACGTTTCAAACTTGGCCGGAGAGTAGTTCTCTGCACGTTCTCAAACAGTGTGGCATGATTGACCGTATCAAATGCCTTTGATAGGTCAAGGGCTACCAACACTGTTCTGTCACACGGCCTGTTCTGGTTCAGTCCTCTACTAATATATGTGGAAATGGCGTGTAATGCTGTTGTGGTACTATGTTGTGGACGGAATCCATGCTGGTGGTTGGCAACTGTATAGCTTCCTCTAATGCTGGGGAGGAGTAAAGCCTCAAGAGTCTTTGCTACTGGGGACAAAAGCGAAATCGGCCTGTACGATTCGCCTTTACTGGCATCCTTGCCTGGCTTCAGTAGCGTGACCACCCGGCCCATTTTCCAGGTTTCGGGCACTATGTGGGTGGCTAGCGACAAATTGAGAACTTTCGTTAAGTACTCGACTCCCGGCGTATCCAGCTGCTTCAACATTACCATTGAGATTCCGTCCGGGCCCAACGCTTTGGATGACTTAGCGTTACGGATGACATTTGCAACATCACCCATCGTAAACTGTGGTGGTTCCTCCTCGGCGGGAAGAGATCTGATACGACGTAGTACTCTTCGCTTCGCCCTATCACTCTCGGGGTGCTCGACAAATTGTCGGTTAAAATATTCCGCGCACCTCTTCGGATCGGTCACCGTTACGTCGTTAAAAGTGACTGAGGTCCTATCATCCTATTTTCCAGGGTTCGAGAGCGACTTAACCGTTATCCACAGCTTACTCATATCGGTTCCAATGTTGCAGCACTTCAGATGGTCTAGCCACTTTTTTCTCTTATGCTCCTGTACCAACCGGTTGACTTCCACTATCAAATCACTGATTATAGGATCAGTAGGGTTGGTGCGAAGGAGATCATCACGCTCGTTTGCTAATCCCGCTGCCTCTGCTGGGAATTTTGGTCTTATCTCGGGTATTCGACCAGCAGGTATATAGCGAGCGGCTGCCGCTTTGTTGGTATTTCGGAAAATCCTTTCTGCTACCCGAACATCAGAAGGGTTGGGCAGTTCTCTGAAGCGGCGGTTGGTGAATTCTCTGAACTCTGGCCAGTGAGCTTTCCCATGGTTAAGGAAAGTGCGGCGTTCAGAGGTTATGAAATCGGGCGACCTGCTTATAGAGACGATTATCGGGAGATGGTCTGAGCCAAGAGAAATGACGGGTTGCCAAGTCACGTCATTTATCAGACCGGGTGACACTATGGTTTAGTCTGGCGAACTGTGACACTCTCCTCTTATTCGAGTGGGGGCATCCTCGTTAACAGTGCAGAATGTGGAGCAGTCAATCTGCTCTGCCAACGCTGATCCCCTCTGGTCATTACCTAGGACGGAATGCCACAACTCATGGTGGGCATTAAAATCCCCTAGTACCAGGCGGTTATTGCCTACCAATATTGGGCTAATATCAGACAAATAACGCGGTTCACAGCTATTAATCGGCGGGATATACACATTAAGCACCTCTACCTCGGCAGTTCCACACTTGACTGCTACCCCCATACATTCCATGTATGGGTCACTAGAGACTAGCTCAAGCGAGATAGGTCTGTACTGAACAGAATGGTGTAAAAGGAACGCTAATCCCCCACCTCCACTTCTGGTGCGATCCTTTCTCTACATTCTTTACATCCATTACATCGCACCGAAACAGATCTGTGGTGGATGACGTTATGACAAACGGAGCAGAACCAAGGTCCGGGGTTTTCCTCAATCCCGGCACGGACCAATAAAATCCGGAGCAAGCATTCCGGGATATGCTGCTCCCAATGCAGAAAAATAAACAAACACAAACATGTACATACTGGGATCTTGTTGTTTTGGGTCAATCCGGTATCGTAGAACCCGCTGCCGTGGGATTGTCTAAATCTTCTTAGAATTTTGCGCTGATCAAGAATAAAGTATATATATTCTAGATCAGCGCAAAATAAAATTATTATTTCGATGAGTTACAAACGGAATGATGAACTTAATATATCCTCCATAAAATGTATGGTGGAGGGTATAAAAAAAGAAGACAGGAAACAAAGGTAGGGCATTGAAACCGATCGATTTCAATTTTTTTTTATTTTCCTGGCTTAACATTCCAAATTAATTTGAGCATCTGAGTGTTATTTTTATTCTCATGATAATTAAGAAAATATTCAAATTCAGTTATAATCAAAATGCGTATTTCAACGTTACACTTTTTGCCGCGAAATACATTTTTAGAGAAATATAGGGCATAATTTTGAAAGGAAATGTGGATCTTTCATCCATTTTTGAGTTTTTGTTTATATATTCAAAATCAATGCAACAAGTTGATTTTTTTATTTTATTATAAACAATTTGTTGTATATACTTCTATCCATGGTACAATGAAGAGAAGGTAGGCCAATTTTGAAAAAAATGCAAGTATAGAGGTCTACCTGTTTGGCTTGTAATGTCAGAATTAGTATCAAAACAATAAAATTGTTTCGCTACAAAAACTCTAGATTTTGTCGATGCATACGTTGAAATAAACATTTTGAAAACACCCGAATTTGAATGTTATCTGAACAATTTTTTTGTTATTGAAAAGAAAACACATACATAAACAAATAAAGATGACATATTAAGCCAAGAATCTAAAAAAAATAAAATCATATGGTATCATAGCTCTACCCATGGTACAATGAATTCAAGGTAGGGCAGAACTACCATATGATTTAATTTTTTTTATTTTTCTGGCTTAATACTTTCATTTGCTTATGTGTGTGTCTTCTTTTCAATAATAAAAAATTGTTCAGAAAATATTCAAATTCGGGTGTTTTCAAAATGCTTATTGCAACGAATGCATCGACAAAATCTACAGTTTTTGTCGCGAAATAAACCATAAGAGATATATAGAACATGATATTGAAAATAAATTTTGACCATTCATTCAGTTTTCGCGGTTTTAAATTATTTATTCAAAATCAATGCAACAAGTTGTTTGCTTTTTTATTGTTTTGATAGTAGTTCTGACATTACAAGCCAAAAAGGTAGACCTCTATACTTGCAATTTTTTCAAAGTTGACCTACCTTCTCTTCATTGTACCATGGCCCTACCCATGGTACAATGATATCAAGGTAGGGCAGAACTACCATATGATTTATTTTTTTTTATTTTTCTGGTTAATATGTCAACTTCATTTGCTTATGTGTGTGTCTTCTTTTCAATAATAAAAAATTGTTCAGAAAATATTCAAATTCGGGTGTTTTCAAAATGCTTATTGCAATGAATGCATCGACAAAATCTACAGTTTTTGTCGCGAAATAAACCAAAGGAGATATATAGAACATGATATTGAAAAGAAATTTTGGCCATTCATTCAGTTTTCGCGGTTTTAAATTATTTATTCAAAATAAATACAACAAGTTGTTTGATTTTTTATTATTTTGATACTAATTCTGACATTGCAAGCCAAACAGGTAGACCTCTATACTTGCAATTTTTTCAAAGTTGACCTACCTTCTCTTCATTGTACCATGGCCCTACCTTGATATCATTGTACCATGCTTCTATCTATTAATATCTATTATTAACATAGACAGCTCTTTCCAAAGATGTTTCTTACTTATACAAACTGCAAATTTTCAGCACCTTAAATCTGGTGGTGCTGTTATGCGGGGGTTAAATAAACTTGGGGATCTTGTAGAGCCCGAGGTACCAGAAGAAGTGAGCCGATATATCCCATATTCTCAGCAGCTCTTGTGTTTGTAAAAATAATGGGATGTGTGAAATACATAGTTCCGATTTTATGATCGTTTACATATTCAAAATGTTAGCCATTTATGGGGGAGGTACCAGATGGAATGCTCCGATCTCTGCCAACAGGTCTGAGATGTGCCGAGTTTGAATGGAATCGGATGCTTATTTGGCGTTCAAAATGTTGTCCCTTTGTGGGGAGGTACCGGAAGGAGTAGTACCTCCCCACAAGGTACGGTGTATCAAGTTTGGACCAAATCAAATGCTCTCTTCGGGAGTTATCGCGCGCGCCAGCTATCCTGCAAGGCAGGCAGACGGAAATATATCCACTCCAAATGTCCTGGAACGGATTTGTCTAAAACCGTTATATCAAGGAGGCACGGACATATGGCTGAGTATAATTTTTTTATTACAAAAATTCACTAAAAATTTAAGAAAATCACCGAGAAGATGTTTATTTCTGAATAAAAAAACACAATAACAAATACATTGCTAAGATACGATATAAATTATATCAATACCAATACGAACTTAAAAAGGGATGTTTGAATTCGAACATCACCTTATATGCGACTTTATGGAATCAACTTGTTGCAGATATTAAAAGGAAATGGTATTTACTTGTTACCTCCCCATCCTAGGAAGCCCTTAACAAAGCCGGATATGCCCTTCTTTCCAGGTGATTGCAGTTTATCTTCCAAAGATGGAAACTCGACGTAATTCAATGCTAAATCGAAAAATAGTGGCTTGCAGGGTATGGCCTCCATTTCGGGAACCATCTTGAAAACATTAGGATTCTTAGTGTGCAATGATTGATCTTCCTTGTATTGGGAAAGCCGTTCGAACAATGGTTTTGAAGACTTCTGTGATTTTGAAGTAAAAATTGGATCGTCGGTATTGTCGTCCTCAAGGACACTATATGCATGAGCAGAAAACTTGCAGCTATCAATTGTAGATATGAGTTTTTTAAGCTCGCCGCTCAAATTAAAAACATCGGTTGTTGTAGTCTTTAAAGCTTCGCTAGCGTATTTAGATGAACGTTCATAGAGTGCCACGGCTTCTTTCCATTTCTTCATATCAACCAAGGTAAGTGCTATGTAATAACAGCGGAATGCCTTGAAAGTAAGTGCAAGATTTTCTATTTCCGATTGATATGCTTGATCTTCCTCCATTCCAGAAATTTGTTGCATTTCCGTTACGTTTTGGAGTATAATTTCGTACAAGCGTGTCAAATCTTGTGGCCGAACTCGCTTGCCGTCACCGCCTCCAATTTGTGACTTTTGATTCGGGTCATCGAAGTTCGCTTTGGCTTGTTCTACCAAACATAAATTACGTTGTAATGTGCGACTATGGCGAATGTAAGAAAGATATGCCAAAAGATATTGAATACCAGAAACGGTCTGGCCTGTTGTCAGCGAACGCAATTTAGGATCCTGTTTAATCTCTTCCTTAACTGCTTGAATGGCGTCCTTGCAATCCATTAAAGTTCGTTCTATCAATTCAATCTTTGAATCAATTTTAGAAGCCTTTTCAAGACCTTTGTCGAGTTCTTGAGCACTGAGCAAGAATAATCGCACCTTTTCGGGTCGGACTGTGACCTTTCTTCCACGCCATTCAATGGTCTGCAAACCTTCACTGCTTTCCGTCTTAGTTTTATTCACCAAATCGTCTAAGTTCTCAAGTAATCCTTGAGCTCTAAATTCTAGTAAATCATCCATATTTCCACCGGCAGCGCGACCGCCACCGATATTATAGGCGCAGTATCGTAAATTAGGAGTAAACTCATTGACTTTAGCCCGATAAAGTTCCTGTTCGTCCTCGGGCAAAGCCTTGGCCAAATTTTCATAAACCACTTGTGCACGTTTCAAGTGTTCACCGGCTGTTTTCCACAGTTGTAATTCAAAATGCAGGCTACCATGCATCCAGGCAACGTATGCCTCACATTCCAGTTTTGTGCGAGCGTCGAAAGCATCCGACTAAAATACAATAAGAATTGTAGGTTTATGGATAATGACACTGTAAATAGTTCACCCCATTACTTACATTGCACAATTCTTGCAGTTGGAGGGCATATACACAAGCCTTTCTCAATTTACTTATCAAATGGAAACGCTTGCGAGGCTCCGTATTCGATTCCTGCTTCAATTGCATGGCATAAGCCCAGGCTCGCTCAGCACTTATTAGTGGTATATGTATGAACCGCTCATCAGCCCGCTTCCCAGTTAACTGCCCCAAAGTTACATCTCTACGCTTGAAATGTCTCTTGTCGCCTTGAGGAAACTTCAACGCTTTTCGCAGGCGACGAATACGCCTAGTACAATAACCACGATAACGTTGGTAATCGCCATGCCGAAGACCATGCTGCTGCTGGGCCTCTTTTATCATGTGCAAAACTGGCAAAAAGCAAAAGAAAACAAGAGGTGAAATGCATTTAACACAATCCTAGGCAACATAGTAAAGAAACTAAAAGTGAAAGCCTTATTATTTAAGGTTATATGCACTGCATTCCAATTAGGTGTATTCTTCGTCTGTGCACATTCTTAATATAACGCTTTTTTTTACAAAAATTACTTTCTACTGTGAACACTTTTGCTGGTTCAGGTGGCGGAGGCGCCGCTGTCTGCTCTTCTTCCACTTTTTCCACATTTTCAGGAGGATTCTTTTCTTCGACCATTGTTTTTTGTAAACCTTTAAACCTTTTGGCCTTTTGGTGATGGAAATATTATGGACGTCAAATCCAATTGTCAAAACGTCACCACAACTACAACAGGGATACATAAATCGACTTCTGCCTAAACGAAAACGACTTTTGAATAGGTTGGGAACATTCAATTAGCCGATTTTAGATGGTTGAATATTTGATTCGCCGTCCCAAACCTGACAGAGCATTATACTATGTTCTCATTAGTATTTGTTCATCTTTCAAATATATTTTGTTTAACAAAATAAATAAATTAAACACATTCTATACATTATTTTAAAATTCTTGTAGGCATGAATCAATAAGAAAGGTTGCTGAACTTCAAAGAAACTAGAGAAATGCAACTCTGTGCTGGAGTCTTATAGTGTCAAATAGACTTTTAAATATGCAACTGTTGGCTTTTGTTTATTTTTTCTTATATTGGGAAAAACCTGCGAAACAAGAATGGAATTTCGGGGTTATTCCACGAGATGGAATCTAAAATAGGAGGACAATACATTTTTCCACAAAATTGTACAATTTGTTTATTTTTTATTCAAAACAATACAAACACATACACAAAATGTGTATATGTGTTGACATAATGAGGGCACCAAAAGAAAAAAAAATAGTATTTGGGGTTTAGCTTTATACCATGGTACAATGATATCAAGGTAGGGCTATGATACCATATGATTTTAATTTTTTTTTTTATTTTCTTGGCTTAATATGTCATTTTTATTTGTTTATGTATGTGTTTTCTTTTCAATAACAAAAAAATTGTTCAGAAAATATTCAAATTCGGGTGTTTTCAAAATGTTTATTTCAACGTATTCATCGACAAAATCTAGAGTTTTTGTAGCGAAATAATCCCTTAGAGATATATAGTACACGATTTTGAAAAGAAGTGTTGACCTTTCATTCAGTTATCGCGGTTTTCAATTATTTATTTAAAATAAATGCAACAAGTCGTTTGATTTTTTTTATTATTTTGATACTAATTCTGACATTACAAGCCAAACAGGTAGACCTCTATACTTGCAATTTTTTCAAAGTTGGCCTACCTTCTCTTCATTGTACCATGCTTTGTTCTACCTTTTTTAATTGTGCCATGCTTGTAGGTGCCGAAAAAACAGACATTCTCTCGAATTAAAAAATACTCAATTAAACAAAAAAAAAATTTAATTTATTGTGAGCAAAACAGGTACAACAAAAAGGTGGGTAAAGCAACCAGCTGATTACAATTTTTTCTAAGTGTGCCCGACTTCTGTCAATTGTGTGTATGTATTTATTTATTGTTTTGAAAAATAAAGAGAAAATATTTTCAAAATCAATGGTTGGAACGAACCAACGCATATTTCGAACGTGCGTTAAAAATATTAACCAATGAAAATCCAGGCATTCCAATATTTTTTCGCTCTCTTTTACTCATTTTAAAAATGAAGGAAAATAGAAAATAAATGAAACAACTTCTTGCATATAATTTATTTTGTTGTGTCCAAGGTTTTCGCATGGTAGAAGAATATAGGTAGGAGCATCGACACAGCTGCTGGGACAATGAACTGTCAAATCTATTTTGAAATTGAAAATTTTGAATGAAAAATTATTTAAATTTGAGAAAATTGTTGAAAAACGCTTATTATAATAACCTTCGAAAGACGTCGTATAAGAAAACATAAAAAATCAATTTATTTTTTAAGAAACATTTAAAAATTCAATTGGTGAGAGATCCTTTTTGTTAGGGCGGTGAGATTGTGGAATCAGCTTCTTTGGGTTAAATCATGGTACAATGAAGAGAAGGTAGGTCAACTTTGAAAAAATTGCAAGTATAGAGGTCTACCTGTTTGGCTTGTAATGTCAGAATTACTATCAAAACAATAAAAAAGCAAACAACATGTTGCATTGATTTTGAATAAATAATTTAAAACCGCGAAAACTGAATGAATGGTCAAAATTTCTTTTCAATATCATGTTCTATATATCTCTTATGGTTTATTTCGCGACAAAAACTTTAGAATTTGTCGATGCATATGATGCAATAAGCATTTTGAAAACACCCGAATTTGAATATTTTCTGAACAATTTTTTTGTTATTGAAAAGAAAACACATACATAAACAAATAAAGATGACATATTAAGCCAAGAAAATAAAAAAATTGAAATCATATGGTAGTTCTGCCCTACCTTGAATTCATTGTACCATGGGTTAAATTACTTTGAATACTTTCGCCTAAATATGTAAGCTATGTTTTTGTAGTGGTTGCGTCGGTTTTTTCTTTTTTTCTTTTTGTTGGACTGGGGACCCCCATTTTATCTTCTTAATTTTATTTGTAGGTTGTTATAATGTAAGTTACTATTTATACTCTGTTTAATGAGTAATAAAATAATTCTCTCTTTTTTTAGTTCGTTTATGCTACACTTTTTCACTGCTCTACTAGACTATTGTTTAGTTAAGGGTTTGAGTTTCTCGTGAATTTTTAAGATAAATTATTAGGTTTAATATATTATTTGTTAAGTTTGAATTAATCATTGAATTTGTATTAGGGTATTGTAGATAGATAATACAAGTTATGGGCCCCGTGGGCTTATTCATATTTCTTTGTGAGGTAAATAAATGAAATGAAATTTTGAATAATTCTGACAGGAAGCGCGCAGCGCTGTATTTGTGATTTTGTACAGAAAAATACACATACATTGGAATACAATGACGTATGACAAAAGCTAAAAGAGTGCTCCGCAAAAGTAGAATCCGCACAATTTTGAACGTAGTTTGCTCCCTTTCCATAACGAGGAAAATGTGCTCACTGGTATTCGAGCAGCATCGAAAATTTTGAGCACGCAGGAGTGCACTCGCTCTAATTTAAGTTAGTTTTATTCTTATTAAAATTATTATTTCAATGAGTTACAAATTAAATGACGAACTTTATATACCCTCCGTACTATGTATGGTGGAGGGTATAAACCATTACACCACGCGTTTTTCGAAGACGGAATTGACTATCTAAATAATACTAAAACAAGTTTGGTGTAAATAAGGCATTTCTTTCAGTTCGCGCCAAGCTATAAATATACCATAATACTTCGCTTTTGTTTTTGTTCTTTTATTCGTAAATAAAGGCATAGTTGCAATATATTTCCCGAAAAATACGCTTTTAAACAACTGTTATGCTTTGACGTTTCTTTTCGAATTACTATTCGGGGCCACGCAGTTCGGCCATTAGTTGTCTGATTTTACAAATTCAAACTAAATTAGTAGGTAATTTATATGTGGATTGTTATTGAACATATCCAGAAAATAGGAATAGCCGAGATCAGTAGAATCGTTGCATTCTGTAAACTGTTATATTCCTATAGCAGAGAAGGCAATGAGTGGAAGTTGAGGTTATACACTTTCACTCTTGTGAGCAGAGGTTTTCATTTGGGGTAGTTGCGGGGTTCGAAATTCCCACCTACAACTATTTGCTTTGTTGTCACATAGGGTGTTCTTTGTTTTTATTGAGAGACGGATAAACGTGTTGCTGATGTTTGAATGTATTTTGTTTTAGAAAAATGGCCAACAGAAAAGATCATGAGGAGACGGACAAGCAGACCCGTATCGCTATTGTCAGTGATGACAAATGTAAGCCAAAGCGTTGCCGCCAGGAGTGCAAAAAGTCCTGTCCTGTGGTGCGTATGGGAAAGCTGTGTATCGAAGTGGCACCCGCTTCAAAAATCGCTTCTTTATCCGAAGAACTGTGTATAGGTTGCGGTATATGTGTCAAGGTAAGTGTTCAGTCAGCGGACGATATTTGACTGTAAAATGTGCATTTCCTAAATATAGTTGTTTGCTTTCTACTACTTTCTTTAGAAATGCCCTTTCGAAGCCATTACTATTATCAATATTCCCAGCAATCTGGAGAAGCATACAACTCATCGTTACGGTAAAAACTCGTTTAAATTGCATCGTTTACCAATTCCACGCCCTGGAGAAGTATTGGGTCTTGTAGGCCAAAACGGTATTGGCAAGTCAACTGCATTGAAAATATTAGCTGGAAAGCAAAAGCCCAACTTGGGACGCTACATTGATCCTCCAGATTGGACTGAAATTTTGGCTTACTTCCGTGGCTCTGAACTGCAAAACTATTTCACCAAAATTCTCGAGGACAATTTGAAAGCATTGGTGAAACCACAATATGTTGATCAGATTCCTAAAGCCGTTCGTGGAACGGTCAACGAATTGCTCAACAAGAAGGACGAGCGCAAAAATCAAACGGAGATCTGTGAAATGTTGGACTTATCGCATATACGCGAGCGCAACATTGCCGATCTTTCAGGTGGAGAATTGCAACGTTTTGCAATTGCCATGGTGTGCATTCAGGACGGTGATATTTTCATGTTTGACGAACCCTCCTCCTATTTGGATGTGAAGCAACGTCTTAATGCGGCTTTGACGATACGACATCTTTTACATCCAACGAAGTATGCAATTCCCTTTTGTATAATAACTGTTGAATTAATGTAATTAAATTTCAGGTTCATTATTGTTGTCGAGCATGATTTGTCCGTGTTGGACTATTTATCTGATTTTATTTGCTGTCTTTACGGTGTTCCTGGCTGTTATGGTGTAGTTACTATGCCTTTCTCAGTACGCGAAGGCATTAATATTTTCCTTGATGGTTTTGTTCCAACTGAAAACATGCGATTCCGTACAGAATCGCTTACGTTCAAGGTGAGAATAGTGACATTTTGATACATTGCGCGTATAGTACTTATGAGTTCTAAGATTGCGATATCATTGCATAAAAATCGCTTCCCGGGTTTAATTTTTTTTTTACAATTATCCCATGTCTTTTTGAAAAGGTTTCCGAGTCGGCAACTGAAGAAGAAGTTAAGAGAATGAATCATTATGTCTATCCAGCAATGAAGAAGACCCTAGGCAACTTCTCTCTTACCGTTCAAGAAGGTCACTTCAGCGATTCTGAAATTTTGGTACTTCTCGGAGAGAATGGTACTGGCAAGACAACATTCATTCGTATGTTGGCTGGCAACTTGCAGCCTGATACAAATGTAGATCTCCCAGTGCTTAATATATCTTACAAACCACAAAAAATTTCACCCAAGTTCCAAAACCATGTGCGCCATTTACTTCATGAAAAGATTCGCGACGCTTATGTTCATCCCCAATTTGTCGCTGATGTTATGAAACCTATGAAAATCGAAGAAATAATGGACCAGGAAGTACAAAACTTATCCGGTGGTGAATTGCAAAGGGTAGCTTTGGTTTTGTGTCTGGGCAAACCGGCGGACGTTTATTTGATCGATGAGCCATCTGCTTACTTGGACTCAGAGCAACGTTTAGTTGCCGCTAAAGTTATTAAACGGTAAGCGACAAATAAAGTATAAAAATAGAGAAACTAATAATGTTTATTTTCAATGACAGCTACATTTTGCATGCTAAACGTACTGGCTTCGTTGTGGAGCACGATTTTATAATGGCAACATATTTGGCGGATCGTGTAATTGTGTTGGAGGGTCAACCTTCTGTAAAGACTACGGCTTATTCGCCTCAATCGTTGTTAAATGGAATGAACCGATTCTTAGAACTATTGGGAATTACTTTCCGCCGAGATCCTAACAACTTTAGACCACGCATTAATAAAAACAACTCTGTGAAGGTATGAATTTCAATTTTTGCATTGTGGAGAGTCGGTTTTAAATATATTTCATTTTTAGGATACTGAACAAAAACGTTCCGGTCAGTTCTTCTTTTTGGAAGATGATTGCAACTAATGATGAATATAGCATTTTGGTCACATTCACTGAAGCATATAATCCGGACAAAAAAAATGCGAAAATTAAACGTTATGTACACCTGCTGGATTCCTTTGTGCTCCCAACTATAAAAGAACAGCGATTTTTGTTACATTGATTTTTATAATGGTCCTCTTGATTTTTTGTATTTTCGAAAGCAAGCAAAAAATATAGCAAAACGTAAAATACTAACATCAAGCTGTTAAATATTCATATGGGATATGCGCCAGCATATGCATTGCACACTGTTACAATGTTTGTCAAAAACGTATCATTTTAAAATCGATGCTATTTATGCCCTCAACTATAGGGCATATCATTTGATACTTTAAAATGTCTATCTGGCTGGCCCACACTTGGCACATACTAATATTTTTGTCTACTAAGATCAAGTTCGAAGATGGGTAATATCATTCCACTCTTTCCCCTTCTGTAACACCTACAATTGGTAAAAAGGGACGAGATTATAAAAATTGAGCTTCTCACAAAGAACGAAGGAAGTATCCAATTTCGTTACAACTTAGAATATCGTAACATTTCTACTAGGTCCAAGCTAGGTCCTAAAATGGACAATATCGGCCAACTCCTTCTGGCACCTCTCTCACAAAGGGTCAAAATGTTGATAATCACAACCCTTATAAAATGTGAACAAATGTCGGATTATCTTTCACATATCCCAATATTTCCACCAACTCTTCCGGTACCTCCCATACAAAGGGTAACAATTTCCGTTATCCATAACTCCTAAAAAACTGAGGGTTACTTTTTAACTTGTTTCTTCTTTATATATGTCAAAAATAGCCAAACAGTGGCTCTCGGTACAGTACAGTATTTTGCATACAAAACCCCACCTAATTTTAAAGTCCGATTTACGTAGACACAATCTTTATCGAGAACAAACATTTTATAACTTTTAAAACGCTGATACTAATACTACTAATTTTAGGGATTATTTCACAAAAAGGAAACTAAAGTATTCAGAAATTTGTCGTGTCTGTTATATTTTATTAGGGGAACACGGTACGACAATGTAACAATAAAATACAATTATTTTCAATATTTGTAATAAACGAAAATTCGAAATGCTTAAAGTTAAATGCAAATAAATTGATTTATTAAATAGAACCTTAAAACGAATATTCACACTTTTCATACTACTAGCACTATAAGAGAGATGTAAAGCATATAAAAATACGTTTATCTTTTTTACACAAAAAAATATCTAGTACATGCTTAAGCATATGAATTAGAAATTCTTGAAGTGGCAGATACGAATAGGACAGCCCCTTATCAAAGTCTTATATAGTTTGCAAAATATTTCGAGATTGGAAAGTTATGAATTTTTTTTTTCATGTATGGATATATGCATGGATGTATACGTTGTTTCAAATGGGGGTTGTTTTTCAAAGAAAGGCTTTAAATAGATTAAATTGGTTCAGTGATTAGAGCTTAGCATAGATAAAACCTCATTAGCCATCTCAGCTGCTTGTTTCCTTAGTTTCATTGCCTGAAAAGAAATTTAATGAGTCTTGACCACATTAAAAGAATTACAAAATCACCTTTGCTCTAAGTTCCTTTTCGCTTGTTATAAGTTCTTGAATTTGAGTTGCAGTCCACTCACTATTTTTTTGGTCCACAATCCATCTTAAGTACAATTCTGAAAAAATTATGGTAATATAAACTGTGCCTGCTTTCGAAAATCCATAGTTTACCATTCCATAGTTCCAAGCTTATTGGAGCAACCGAAGGCCATATTACACGAGGATTTGGTTCGTACATTGGGTTAAGAAAGTTCTTTAGTACTTCTGGTCGATTTAAGTATGACCACAGGCTGGTTGTGCGCGAATGAACTCTTAACTCGTGGCGTTCTTTCTCGGAATCACAAAGAAACGTTCCATATTGAGAGAAATAGCTATGTTCAAAAAGTAGGACCAACATTTGAGTACTGAATTCAAAACTGCAAGGAAACTGTTTGTACAACTGGTGAATACAATCTAAGAATAAAACAAATGTTGCGCCATTGCATTTGTGACGATTTTGGGAGGGCGTGTAGCACGAGTAACGATGCCGGGAGGCAAACGGATGTCCAGCCTGTATCCATTCGCGCTCAATCAGCGCTTGAATTCTGAAAATAATTACAAATTTTACCATTTCTTGTTCGGAACAAGTATACCATTGTAATTACCCGCGTACTGTACGACAATCTGGGTTTAAGATAATTTGTACCAGAGACGTAACGATCAGTGTAGAATCAAGTCCTTTGGCTCCATGAACTAAGACTGGACTGCCTTCCTGATCAAGACATTGTGCAACCACGCAAGCAGCATTTAACGAGCCCAATACTAAGCTGAGCCAATTGCTGTTTTCTAGACGGGAAAGCCATTTGTCAGGTGTACAATTCACATCATTGCAAGCTAAATTAAAATGGGAAAGCTTATTTATGCTCATATTTATGTTTATTTAAAAAATATACCCTCCATCAACTTTGAAAAACTGTCTAAAATTGCGGCAGGCGAAGATATATTGCCGATAGAACGGTTAACCTTCTTCCACTGCGAGTAGTGTTGATCCGTCTCAGTGTTGGACTTGCCTTTACCCCATGTGTCCACAATAAATCCCTTTTTACTGCGGCCCAAAACGACATTTAATATGGCTTCGTCGGCACGGCAACGTTTTATTCCTTGAATTGACAGCGGCTGAGCACTTCTGAGGAGGGCGGCCTAAAAAAATCATAGGATTAGAGTATTAAGATAACATTGAAAAATTTCAATTTCAAATCATTTCAATAACGTACGTACGTATATTTATAGTGGGAGTTTTTTTTTTATTTATTTCCTTTTTTTGTTGAAAATATGATGGACGAACCACACAGACCTAACACATTTAGCAAAAAGTTCGACTCCAAATAAAGTTTTGTCATGTGACAAGATGATCACCTCATATTTAGGCTTGCAAGACAAAAACTAGTTCGAATCATGTACTTTTCTAGGTATGTAAGTTTTACGGTTTCCCTTTACAGAGTATTTCATTAAATTAATTAAAATCCTTCGCATTACCATTTGGACGCAAATTACATTCGGGATATTTGCACAATATTTAAACACTCCGTCGTTCTGTTAGTTCTTGTGGTCTGTTTTATAGCTAAATATAATCCAATGGTCTCGTGCAAAATTACATGTCGATTGGTTTCAATTGTGTGATCAGGAAAATGTTTCTGCTTTTGGTTCATTTGAACCCCTAAAAATTTTGTGACCATCTCCAAATGCAAGAGGCCATTCTGTATCTCAAAATTTAGACTATGATTTGCTTGTCTACGACATTTGGCTATATTCGTCAACGAAACCAGCATAAAAAACCAGAAGCTCGTCTTCTGGGTATATTGGATTTCGCCTGTAAGCTATTTTCAGTCTCTCGGTAGAATGGAAAAGTTGGAATTTTTGCACACAAAAGTAGTTGTTGTTGTTGTTGTAGCAGTTTTACACGTTCTGTTGTTTTTTCCGACTAATCTGGTTCTTCCTCAATGTCCAGGTTTAGGAATTCTGCTACCTTTATGGGCTGTAGCCATAGATCCTCTGGACGGAGTTGGGTAGGTTTGGCAGGACAATTAAACAGGTGCAGCGTGTTGTGCGGGCCTGTATCGCACGCTGGGCAGGCGTTCCGCACATCCTCATCAATTCGTGCCCAATACGAATTGAGACGGCTGCACCATCCTGAACGTAGTTGGGCCAAAACTACCCTGGTTTGCCTAGGCAGCCGACGTTCTTCAGCTGCAATGGATGGGGGGTGGACTCCGAGTATGGCATTCATACTGTAATTATTAACTACCTCTGTGACTGCATCAGTATGAATGCTATTCAGACCCGCTTGATAGGCTTCTTGATCTAGAGGCTCTCTCTTATATCGCTGGACCTCTCTCTCTAGATCGTGCAGGTCCTTCCTGACACGCCTGGGTGGAGGAGTTCTATCCACCATATGGTGGTTAGGGTGACTCCCGCGATAACACCCAAGCAGGTACTGCAACGAAAGCATATGATTATGCTGACGTAAGGGAAGAACCTTCGTCTCCTCATGTAAGTGGTCCACAGGTGTCATGAGGAGGCACCCTGTTGCAGTTCTCAGGGCGGCATTCTGGCAGGTCTGAATACATTTCCACTGCGTTGCACTTGTATTCGCCGACCACACTGGAGCCGCATAGCTAACCACAGACCGACCTATCGCTTTATAAGAGGTCAACAAGGTTTCCTTATCCGCACCCCAAGTGCTGCCGGCTAGCGCCTTGAGGACCTTGTTCCTACTTTTCATTTTATCGCAAATAGCTGTGGCTTGCGCGGAAGACTTGAACATGCTATCGAATGTGACCCCAAGGATTTTGGGGTAGTTGGTGGTCGGAATTATATGCCCCTCGACCTGCACATTCAGCTGTGTTCTCATCTCCGCAGTCCATGTGGTAAATAGTGTGGCCGTCGATTTAGTGGCGGATATTTTCATATTCCTCGCGTGGAAGAAGGCGGCAAGCTCCGCGAGATAGTTATTCACCCTGACACATATGTCATCAACTACAGGACCCGACGCCACGATCGTACAATCATCCGCATAAGTTACGATCTCGATGCCGTCTGGAGGGCGCGGAATTCCGGAAAGGTAGAGGTTAAACAGTTCCGGAGATATCACCCCACCTTGGGGAACTCCCTGTTTCACTCTACGAGGCTTGGACTTCTTATTCCGGAATTCCACGTACGACTGGCGTCCACACATATAGTTGACTATCCAACGTTTCAAACTTGGCCGGAGGGTAGTGTTCTCAACGTCCTCGAACAGCGTGGCATGGTTGACCGTATCAAAGGCCTTTGATAGGTCAAGAGCCACCACTACTGTTCTGTGGCACGGCCTGTTCTGGTTGAGTCCTCGACTGATATGTGTGGATATGGCGTGCAATGCTGTTGTAGTGCTATGTAGTGGACGGAAACCGTGTTGATGGTTAGCAACTGAATAGCTTCCTCTAATACTGGGGAGGAGTAAGGCCTCGAGAGTCTTTGCTACTGGCGACAAAAGCGAAATTGGCCTGTATGATTCGCCTTTGCTGGCATCCTTGCCAGGCTTCAGTAGCGGGACCACCCTGCCCATTTTCCAGGCTTCGGGAACTATGTGGGTGGCTAACGACAAGTTAAGGACTTTGGTTAAATACTCAACTCCCGGCGTATCCAGTTGCTTCAACATTACCATTGATATTCCGTCCGGGCCCAACGCTTTAGATGACTTAGCGTTTCGGATGACATTCGCAACATCACCCATCGTAAACTGTGGAGGTACATCCTCGGCGGGAAGAGCTCTTATACGACGTAGTACTCTTCGCCTCGCCCTATCACTCTCGGGGTGCTCGACAAATTGGCGGTTAAAACAGCCAGCGCACCTCTTCGGATCAGTCACAGTTACGTCGTTAAATGTGACTGCTGTCCTATCATCCTTTTTTCCAGGGTTCGAGAGTGACTTTACCGTTACCCACAGTTTACTCAAATCGGTTCCAATGTTGCAACACTTCAGATGGTCTAGCCACTTTTTCCGCTTATGCTCCTGTACCAACCGGTTGACTTCCACTGTCAGTTCACTGACTCTGGGATCAGTAGGGTTGGTACGTCGGAGCTCATCACGCTCATTCGCTAATCCCGCTGCCTCTGCTGGGAAATTTGGTCTTACTTCGGGTATTCGACCAGCAGGTATATAGCGAGCGGCTGCAGCTTTGATGATGTCCCGGAAAATCCTTTCAGCTACCCGAACATCAGAAGGATTGGGCAGTTCTCTGAAGCGAAGGTTGGTGAACTCTCTGAACTCGGGCCAGTGGGCTTTCCCATGGTTAAGGAAAGTGCGGCGTTCAGAGGTTATGAAATCGGGCGATCTGCTGATGGAGACGATTATCGGGAGATGGTCTGAGCCAAGAGAAATGACGGGTTGCCAAGCCACGTCATTTATCAGACCGGGTGACACGATGGTTAAATCTGGCGAACTGTGACACTCTCCTCTTATTCGGGTGGGGGCATCCTCGTTTACCGTGCAAAATGTGGAGCAGTCAATCTGCTCTGCCAACGCTGATCCCCTCTGGTCATTACCTAGGACGGAATGCCACAACTCATGGTGGGCATTGAAGTCCCCTAGTACCAGGCGGTTATTGCCTTCCAAAAGTGGGCTTATATTAGGCAAGTAACGCGGTTCACAGCTATTAACCGGCGGGATATACACATTAAGCACCTCTACCTCGGCAGTACCACACTTGACTGCTACCCCCATACACTCCATGTACGGGTCACTAGAGACTAGCTCAAGCGAGATAGGTCTGTATTGAACAGAATGGTGTATCAGGAACGCTAATCCCCCACCTCCACTTCTGGTGCGATCTTTCCTCAATACGTTGTAACCATTGCAACGTTGTAAGCTACAATTTTCATTGAGCTTGGTTTCCTGCACCGCTGCGATCTTAATATTCCTCCGATTCATAAAATCTACTATCTCATCAATTTTACCTCGGAGTCCGTTGCAATTGAACTGCAAGAACGATGCATTGTCCGGAATTGGAACAGCAACATGTGGCGTTAAGTGCTGCGGTAGTGGTTGCTGTTCTGGAGACTGCGGGGGAGTTCCATACTCCGACGACGACTCGGAAGTTGACGACGAGGTCGTGGACTCACTGGGGACTGTGTTGGTGCAGCACGAAGCAACATAGTCCCTATCGCTATAGTCTCGCAACCGGGTTAAACCGGAACAATTTCTAAAATGCACCCATCCTCTGCATCCATTACATCGCACCGAGACTGATCTATGGTGGATGGTGTTTTGGCAAACCGTACAGAACCATGGTCCGGGGTTTTCCTCAAGCCCGGCACGGACCAAAAGAATCCGGAGCAAGCATTCCGGGATGTGCTGCTCCCAAAACAGAAAAATAAACAAACACGAACATGTATACACTGGGTTGGCAGCCGCTGGCCGAAACTGGAGTGTTGTTGTTTCGGGTCAATCCGGTGTCGTAGAACCCGCTGCCGTGGGATTGACACAAAAGTAGTGGTTCATTCTACCCGCTGTCCTAAACTCTAACTTCATGCGAGATTTCGTGTCCTTTAGTTGTTGGTCCATGTCAACCCCTAAATATATTGCCCTTCTGAGTCTAACACTACCCTTATGAAATTTTCATGAACATCGAACGATAATTGCAATCTGTATATAATAACCGCAACCTTTGTTGTAGGGTGAAAAAACTCTTTTTTTTACTGTCGCCTTTATTTTTCACCTTTCTTAAAAAAAAATTTAATTGCTTGTTGTTGGTTATTATGCCTCTATTGATTCATTTTTTTACTTTGGTTTTTTGTAGTTTTGGCTGGGGAGCCTTTTATATCTTGTTTTTTAATAATGTGATAGTTATTTATAATTTAATTTGAATTTTTCTACTTGGTATTGAGTACCTTATTAATACAATTAATTGGCCTTGGAGGCTTCAGTATTAAGTATGAATTAAATAAAGAAAGAAAGAAATATAACAAAATATACACTTTAAGTCATAGTGAAAAAATCGCATGCGATAAAAATATGACAAAATAAAAAAATGTCATAAAATTCTACAAAACCTATACTATTATCATTATTAAGATGTCAATAATATGCGATTTATGCGATTTTTTATATTTTATACTTTTATGCCAATAGGGCACTCTGAATTGACAAAATTTGTCAAAATCGGTCTAGCCATTCTATATTTCGCTACATATATCCGATATATTTTCTATCGGCATCTACGTAACGGTCAGAATTTACCTTTTGGTCAACTTGTGGTTTCGCCACGATTAAAAATATTCGTGGTTTAATGCAAAATGTTACTTTTATTTAACATAAATGTTATGGTCCATTTCACCCACTAAATATTACCCGATAACCATCGTTCTGCCCAGCTCTAAGTTCTAGCCCCATGCTAACTTTCGCGTCGATTGGTCAATAATTGTTACCTATAGAACAACTGCAAAATCAGGAAATTTCAGCTTTTGATCCACTTCAAACCCTAAATATTATGCGATAATCTCCAAAAGCAATAGGCTTCTAATCTGACCATAACCCCACCTCTGTGCCATCGGCCTATAACATGGACTGACGGACGGATATATATAGCTAGATCGAATCATCTCGGCGAGATAGGAAGATCCATATATACTTTCCTATGTGGGAAACCAATATTTCGAGGTGTTATATAACTTCTGGCTCAATCAAACTTATAATACCCCCAACGTATAGTGTTGTAGGGTATAAAAATAATGCTGCTTTGTAAACTTACCCCATTTTCGTGTCTATAACTAAGTACAGGAAATCGGCCACCATCTCGGAAAGCGGCAGATTGCATTATTTGTTCATCAGTAATTTGTTTCGGTACTATTAAAACCGATCCGTATGTTGGACAAATTTTAAAATCCTTATTTACGTTAGTAATTCGCCATTCGCAACCAACACCTGCCGAGCCAATGTTGTTGTCATGATCATTTGAACAGGGAGAGTGTAACGTGGAAAGCGGACTCAAAACAACGTTAGAGTTGTTCATTGCACCTATTCCATTGTTGCAAGAACTAGACGATACAAGTTTTGCGAATTCCAGTTCGGGGCTGCAGTGTAGAATGTAAAGTTAGAACACCAATAATTTAGTTATAAAAACAAAACAACATACCGGAATATTGTATAGCCATCTTCCAATATTGTGTACATTGGGCGATAAAAGAAAGGATACTCTAACTCTGGATTGTTAAGCGAACTCAACGCCTCCAGCGAAGAAACAATGTTTAAGTACTCCTTGGCATATTTGATTCGAAGCGAAATAACTCTTAAGTCCTTACATTTTAATGTTATGAGCCCACCAACGACGTTGTTTTGGACCATATATGGTTTCTTTTCAATGCAATCAATATTTTTGTGCATCAACTGAAAATCGATTTATGTATTATTGAAAACGATGATCTGCAATAGAATGGCAAACATACCCATAGTTCTTGGCTATTTTCCTGCCGCGCGCTGCTCAGTAACAAATGGTGTCCAGTTATGCATAGACGCCCCTCTATAGTGGCATTGGTGTGGTCATGCAGAAAGACTCCATCCAGCTTTGGTGTCTGTATAAGCTCCACAAATTCCATATTTTTTTTCTCAAATACCTTTGTTTACAACACACTGCTGATATCTACACAAATATAGGTTTTTCCTGCAGCTTGTTATCCGTACACTATGGTCGTTACTTCTACTATGCTCCAATGTTTTCCATGCTGTGCTTTATTTTATGACGTACGACAATCAACCGCTGATTCTACAAGTGGGCGGGGGCACTCTAACTGCAACTAAATTTAGTCATTCGGATACGAAATACGTCCCTATTTCATTTAATTCCTTATCATTCATACCAATTTATACATATATACTACTTAAATCAAAACATACTCGACAAATAAGGGACCCCAGGCTTTCTTTTAATTTTTCTGTCATATACCAACGGTATACTTTTGGAGTCTAAACCTTTAATTTTTTAATAATTTGTGCTATCGCTTATAAACTTCACTTTTATTATTTACTTCTTAAAGCCAAAAAAAAAAAAAAACAATTTAGGAAATGAATGAATTCTTTGTTGATTAATTCGATAGACTCTTTTGTTTAGAATAAAAAAATAATAGAGAATGTGAAATTTTTACGAATGAGGAGATGGAGCATGGCGAAAATTTGTTTAAGTAGGGTTGCCAATAAAATGTGGGAGTTCATTTTGATTACTCGCAAACATTTTGTACCATCTGATGTTTGACAATAAGTGTGTTCGATAACTCAATAATTGGTCGGTTCATTTACATTACCAGTACGAAGAGCAAATAAGAATTAATATCCCACTAAAAATAACGAAAAGTAAATCAATATCCTATCCTGATAATTACTTTTAGTAGTAGTGTGTGCAAAAAATGTAAATAAAAAATATCGTTTTCAACATTTTCTATTGTTTTTAAACTATTCCTTTGACATATGCCATTGTTAAAATTTGAATTAATATGATGGGACCTTCTTTCTATGCAGTTAAATTTAACAAGGGAAATTGCAGACAAATATTTCATTATTTATATCTTTGGTCCAGATTTAAGCGAAGCAAGTTTTGTTTAAGGTACGAAGCTGTACGGGAGGCGGTAATTGCTCCAATCGGAGACAACTGGTCCATTGTGTTCATCCTAGGAAAAAAAGTTGCTGATAATTGGAAATATAGACAAAGGATGTTGGGTAACATGGGACATCTGCATATTAGGTATTTAATTGTCTCTAGATCTTCTTCATCTTCGCATAGTATGCAGTAGTATCAGGTACAATAAAACTACAGAAATACAGCTATGCCCGCTTCCTGACAGAATTATTCAAAATTAGACGCAACAAGCTGTTTTCCATGGTAGAATAAAGAAGGTAAAGATATGCAATCACATGTTTGCACTTTTTCAAAATTATTCTTTTGACAACATCCCATTGTCAAAATGTATGAGTCCATTGTATACAAAGAAAACAGTGAAAGAATAAAATATCGTGAAAAATTAATGAAATGCCTGGATTTTCTCTCAAAATTATGCAATCTTTCAATTCCACGACGAAACTGGTTAATATCTTTAATGCGCGCCCTGAAATGTAAGTTTTTTCCAATCATTGATTTTAAAAATATTTTTAAAAACAGTCTTTCAATTCCATCGTAAATCTGGTTAATATCATTAATGCGCGCCCCGCAATTTAAGTTTTTTTAAATCATTTGTTTTGAAAATATTTTGTTTTTATTTTTCAAAACAATAAATACATACACAAAATTGGCAGAAGTCGGGCACATTTAAAAAAATAAAACGTCATATTCAGCATGACACTAGTATTACTATACTTTTTTTTGCTCTGAAGACGTGTTTTTGCTCTGAAGACGTATCACATAACTATTTTCCAGAATCTACTAGTTTTGCATTTTTTAGATATGATAAAGGAAACGTCAGTTATCGTAGTAACATTTTTACATTTGGTCTGTTCCAGAACTGCGAGAATGTAAAAACTTTTAATTGTCTGTTTTCACCTGATGTAAATCTTAAGGTGAAAGTAGATAAAACGCTTTTTGGACTGGCTTAAGTCATCGGCTGGCTTCTTCGTAGATGAACAAAGGAGTTGGGTTGACTTAGTTCGATTTTGGCCCTACGCTCCTTTATTCTTTTCCGAAGAAGCCAGCCTTAATTCATCGGCCAGTCAAAAAAGCGTTTTATGTATTCTCACCTTTACTCTCTCCATACATTTTGACCATTTGTGTTGTAGATACTAGCATATCATATTGTGTTGTAGATACTAGCATATGTTGTAGATACTGCAGTCCATGGTACAATGAAGAGAAGGTAGGTCAACTTTGAAAAAATTGCAAGTATAGAGGTCTACCTGTTTGGCTTGTAATGTCAGAATTAGTATCAAAACAATAAAAAATCAAACAACTTGTTGCTTTTATTTTGAATAAATAATTGAAAACCGCGAAAACTGAATGAAAGGTCAACAGTTCTTTTCAAAACCAGGTTCTATATATCTCTAAAGGATTATTTCGCTACAAAAAATCTAGATTTTGTCGATGCATACGATGAAATAAACATTTTGAAAACATCCGAATTTGAATGTTTTCTGAACAATTTTTTTGTTATTGAAAAGAAAACACATACATTAACAAATAAAGATGACATATTAAGCCAAGAAAATAAAAAAATTGAAATCATATGGAATCATAGCCCTACCTTGATATCATTGTACCATGCTGCAGTCATATATAATACAAGTAAGGGCAGACTTACAAAATTTGAAAAACACAACTCTGAAGCTAGAGCCTTGTTACTTCAAAACTACTTGCAATCATGGTACAATATGAAGGTAAGGTAGAGCTACCAGCTGATGGCAATTTTCTGCCAATTTTGTGTATGTATTTATTGTTTTGAAAAACGAAAAGAAAATATTTTTTTTTTCTCTTTCGAGACGAGCTTAATGATCTGAAATTTGCAGTGAAAAGGAAAGCCAGATAGACACTATCACACACTCACCACTATGCGACGCGTTTCGCCGTTGGTTAAGCGGCTCATCAGGCATATTTGGTGTGGATAATGGCTTACAAGGGCCGTTCTCTGGAAAGTAGTATATATTTCGAACTTATTGCAAATTAGCATATGCGAATTATACACTAGAAACTCTCCAGGTTGGACATCAGGCATATTTGGTGTGGATGATGGCTTACAAGGGTCGTTCTCTGGAAAGTAGTATATATTTCGAACTTATTGCAAATTAGCATATGCGAATTATACACTAGAAACTCTCCAGGTTCGACTCAGGTTCTATTGGCAGATCTTTTTCACAGCAAAGTTTTTGTTTTTGTAGGGATGGATTTTTTGCCCACAACAACTACATTGCTTCCAATGCATACACTTGTTTTAGTGCTAGTGCTAAAAAGATCTGCCAATAGAACTAGAGTCGAACCTGGAGAGTTTCTAGTGTATAATTCGCATATGCTAATTTGCAATAAGTTCGAAATATATACTACTTTCCAGAGAACGGCCCTTGTAAGCCATCATCCACACCAAATATGCCTGATGAGCCGCTTAACCAACGGCGAAACGCGTCGCATAGTGGTGAGTGTGTGATAGTGTCTATCTGGCTTTCCTTTTCACTGCAAATTTCAGATCATTAAGCTCGTCTCGAAAGAGAAATCAAACACATAAATCATAAAACATATGATCTTCGCCTTAATAAGGCAAAACTCGAAAATATTTTCAATCTCAATTATTGGAAGACGCGTTCTTTGCTGCTCGAGTGTTAGAGCTACTAACCAGTTTAGCCATGAAGTTGAATAATTGAACAAGATCCAGGCATTTCAATCATTTTTCCCGCTTTTTAACTCGTTTTAAAAATGAGGAAAATATGAAAAAATGACAAAACTTTTTTCATATAATTTTGATTGAGTCTGACAGGAAGCGGGCATAACCTCAGGGCTGTATTTCTGTATTTTTACGAAGCTGTTCTACCTCCTTATTGTACCATGCTTGCAATAAATGCAAGAAGTTGTTTTGTTTATTTGAGTATTTTTAAATTCGAGAGAATATCACAGAAAGTAATTGGAAATATTTGCTCTCTTTTCCGGCATCTACAAGAATGTAAAATATTATAAAATTGCAAGCCTATTTAATTTTTGCAGATTTTGCAGTGTGTAATTTATAAATAATAACAATAGCTTTGCAACATCTCAAATATATATCACCCATGGTAGAAGAATATAGGTAGACGCGTCGACACAGCTACTGGGACAATGAACTGTCAAACTAATTTTTGAATTGAAAATGTTGAATGAAAAATTATTTAAATTTGTAAAAATTGTTGAAAAACGCGAATTATAATAGCCTCCGAATGACGTAGTATAAGAAAACATATAAAAATATACTTATATTTGAGAAAACATTTAAATTTTTTTGACATATCAATGCTCCCAAGCGTTGATGCATCTACCTGTATTCTTCTGCCATGATATCACCAAAAGCGTTTCAGTATGTTTGTATAGCATAGGCAATATTTTAACGCGGTCTTAGCTGTTTAGCCTTCTAAGCATTGCACAGTGGTCGAGGTCGTATGGGAACAGCGGCCAAAAATACTTTCAGTGCACATATCAATATGAATCTTTGGTTATGGTACCTTGATGGGATAAAAATAAAAAATGTGACAAAATGGATATGGTCGATGCATGTTCTGGCATGGTCCCCTTACAACGTACCTCCCGAATAAGGGTTATTTGCCCAATTCTTGTCACATTTCTATACCAGATTATAATGTGATTTGACATTTTACGTTCCAAGGAGTACAAAAATAATCTAACTGAAAATTATTTGGAACGGCTCGCCTCCACCTGTGGGCCCCCCTGTAAAGATACCTCCAAAAATAGAAGTATTTTTTATATAAATGAATTCCAAATTTGATTTTTTGTAAACAAAATAAAATAACAATTCAATATTTAATTAAATCAAAGTTAAATTTTACACAAATAATTTGTTTGACCCAAGGCCCGATTGAAATTGTAGATAATATATATTTTCATCCAATTTGCCTTATATTGTGCACCAAACTTGTATCAGCCCAAATAGTATGGAATATACGTACGACCAGATTGGACCTGAAAATAAGTATGTTCTTCCGATTTGTTATTTTTGTCCTCCACAGTCGTAATATGAACTCTGTAACAGCGATATTTGGGGAAATATATCAAATATAACTCTGAAATACCCTTGCTAAATTTTATCGAAATCGGTTAATATTTGGATATGGCTCCCATATATATCTTCGTCCGATTTGCCTTTTATTGTGCACCAAACGTGTAATATTTGCCCAGATGGAATGGAATTTGGTACTTACTTGTTGAATTTGCTCTGCATAGCCGTAATGTGGACTCCGTAGTAACGATATTCGGGGCAATATATCAAATACAGCTCAGAAATACCTTTGTCAAATTTTATCGAGTTCGGTTCAGTTTGAGATATAGCTCTCATATATATCTATCCGATTTTAAGATAATTCTGCACCAAGTGGATAATATAAGCCCGAATTGAAAAGGCGCAAATGTCTCGACAAATTTAGTAGAAATCGATTCAGAGGAGGATATTC